TTATTTCAGGTATTTTGCAAGAATGACTAATAACCAAATTCAGTCTATGACAAGCGCAATGGGTGTTTATTGCCTTTGGCTGAATGCTCAGAAATCGGGCTTATGCATCTGATAAAGAACCTGCCATTGATGCTGCACCATCATCGTATCCTTGGCCTCTCATATTTTCAATATTCAAATTAAGCGCATGTAAAGTTTGTTTAACTTGAATAAAAATATCTTCGGCTCTCACACTCCGACTTTACAAATGCCATAAACTCCTCGCGTATCTCAAGTTTCTTATCAACAAATCTAAGTACAAGAGATAGTTTATTTAACTTTTACATGCGGAAAAATTAAATAAACCGCTTAAATGTTCAAGTTTTGTTTACGTTTACTTATTTTTTAATGACGATTTTCTTTTTAACTCTACAAAAGCGTCTTTATAGTGGTTTATTTATGTTGATTTTTTAAACTTATTTTTCAAATAAGATAGCTTCTAGTTAACTTTAAATTTTAACTTAAAACTTTTTTTTAACTTTTAACTTAACTTTAAACTTCTTTATTTTTGATTTAACTCTTATTTTCTTATATTAACTATCTACTCCAACTCGAAGCAACTTTAAAACGTCGTCAGCGATTAGTAAAAAAATATTTAAAATTTTAAAACGTCGTCAGCGATAAGTAAAAAATCTTATTTTAATCGATAGCTCAATAGCTAAGATAGATATATACTCGATAGATAAGAAACCTGCTCGGTTCCCCAATTTCGATCGAATAGAATGTTAGTTAAAAGAACTTTTGTTGCAATGTTATTTAATAACATTGCAACAAAAGTTCTTTTAACTAACATTTTTTAATAATTTAATAAGAATTATAATGTGTATATATATATATATATATATATATATATATATATATATATATATATATATATATATATATATATATATATATATATAAATATATATAAATATATATATATATATATATACATATATATATATATATATATATATATATATATATATATATATATATATATATATATATATATATATATATATATATATATATATGTATATATATATATATATATATATATATATATATATATATATATATATATATATATGTATATATATGTATATATATGCATGAAAAAAAAGCATATTTATATATATATATATATATATATATTTATATATATATATATATATATTTATATATATATATATATATATATATATATATATATACATATATATATGTATATATATATATATATATATATATATATATATATACATATATATATATGTATATATATATATATATATATATATATATATATATATATAAATATATATATATATATATATATATATATATATATATATACATATATATACATATATACTTTTTTCATATATATATGCATGAAAAAAAAGCATATTTATATATATATATATATATATATATATATATATATATATATATACATATATATATATATATACATATATATATATATATATATATATATATATATATATATATATATATATATATATATATATATATATATATATATATATATATATATATATACATATATATACATATATACTTTTTTCATGCGATTCTGCGCATGAAGAAGTATGACGTACTATTAAATATATGCGTGCACGAAATTATCGAAACTGTAGGTCTGTTATGTTTTCTTGACACTTAACTCTTGAAATCTGAGCCTGGTTGTTTTTTGAATTTTAAACTGATCAAAAATCCCGCGTTACACGCGGTGCCATTAGGCTGCCTAACACTAGTTGTTGAGATTCTAGAGGGATGTGGAGAAGTAGAAAAAGATAATGAAAAGAATCATCACAAAAATACACATGTCTTTAAAAAGAATTTTAATGAACGTGTATCAGAGTTTATTGAAGTTATAAAAGATTTCGAAAATCCATTTTTAGTAGAAGAAGATATTCTCATGCATTTATCAACAAAGATATTACTTGACCCAGAAGCTAGACCATTCGTCAAAAAAGCTAAGCAAACGAGGATTGAGTCATCCCATTTTATTTATACAACAACAAGTTTTTTTCGATATCAGAAATTTTAATGAAAATTTGTAATCCTTGTAATCCGGAGGAAACTGACCCTAGAATTTTGCTACATGTTTAAGACGCAGTTGAGAATGGGCACCAAGTTGTCTGTATTCAAACAGTTTACACAGTTGTTGTTGCAATCTCAATTTCCGTTTTTAAACAATTAACTGGTATCTTTGGTAACTTTGAAAAGAATTTGGAGTTAAACGATGGCTTTCAATTCACTAATAAGCACTAAGGATATTGCATAGAACCTCTAAAACAAAGAAAATGAAGAAATAATTTTTCAGATAACCTATGTTTATAAAGTATAAAAACGCAATAATTTTAGATTTGTTAGCTACTACCACCAACAAAAGATGCACTCTTCCAGCATTTGAAAATAGCTATGTTCTTAGGAAGATATTTTTTTAAATGCTTAAGTGAACATATTATTTTATTCTAAATTTTTTTTAATCAAGTATTTAAAAATGATATTTACACTTAACTATTTATTTAGTATCATATGGGGACAATCCTTGGTGCCATAACCAAATTTACTCAAAGCTACTAAATGGGATTGAAAAAATAAAAATAACACAATGACACAATTGTGGATGACTCTAACTGAGGCACAAAAATCATGCGTCAAGTTAATAAAATGCATATGCAAGAAAAGTTGCTGAATGCAATGCAAATGCAAACGTTCAGGATTATCCTGCACAGAGCTATGGGTCAGTGTTTGAAATAAAAATGAAACAACCTCCTTTTCATTAAATTTTTATCAAATTTTGAAAAAAATTATTTCCATTTTTTTGAAATATAAATATAATTTTTTTTAATGCTTTTGACATATTTTAATTAGTAATGTGGTATAATTTCTACTTAACAACTTATCCATTTTGGCGAAGTTAATTTTATGCCACTAATAATAAGTTTTTTCCACATCTTATGCATCATTAGGTATTAGTTTTTAAAACACTTTTTCATTTCATTGCATAAAAATTCGATCGGAAAGATATCTTGTGATTGCAGAGGCTTTATTTATTATATAAATTGTTCTATTCAATATTTGATCATTCTTGAACTCAGTCAACGAATATTTAAAATGTTCTGAAAAATGTTTTGTATTTAAGCTTTAAGTTCTTTTAAAAAAATATAACGGCTTCCCAATAACCCAACTTTACCAAGGTATAGCATGACTTTTTAAGTGTCCAAGTAAACTACTTTTTTCATTATTACCATTGTTTTTGAAATACCACCTGTAGCATTCCAACCATCTCTATTTCGAACAGCCCCACACCTTAACATTACCTCCACCATGTTTTGCAGTCGATATTACACACTATTTTTCATAATAAACCTCATGAAAAAAACTTTTATAAGTAACTATTAAAACGAGTTTTCGAATGATCTTTAGTTTATTGAGAACTTTGAATGCTCTTAACATGCATTTTTAACTTTCATTTTGTACGTCGGTTATAACTTTTGCTTACACATGGAGGAATAAATTTGTAAACAAAAATAGCGCCCACGTTAACTTTTCGTCCAATAAAATTACGTAAGTTAGATATATAATCTATATATATAGCAGGGGCGAATCCAGCATTTTTTGTTGTTTGAGATAGCTAACTTCCATAAATGGAGCAAATTCCAAACAATTTATACTATTGTCTCTTACTCCTAATACTTATTACTTACTTCCCTTACTTACTTATACTTATTACTTACTTCCCTTACTTATAATTATTAGCCAACAAAAAATGCTGGATCCACCCGTGATATATATATATATATATATATATATATATATATATATATATATATATATATATATATATATATATATATATATATATATATATATATATATATATATATATATATATATATATATATATATATATATATATATATATATATATATATATATACATTTAATGAACTATTTTTTGAAAAAATTACAAAAGTTCGAAACACTCTGCTGAGCTCTAAATCTGTAATCTAAAATATTATAAAAGTTGTTTACAGTGGGATGCTTTCCTAACTCGCTGTGAGTATACTAGTAATCGATCAAAACAGAAAAAAAGTTGAAACCGAAAAAAAAACCGAAATTTTGGGTGCTCTCGGTTGCTGTGGAAACCGAAACCGATATTTCGGCAAATATTTTACTGAAACCGATACCGACATTTCGACTAGTAAAAATTAATTTTAATAGAAAACTTTTTTTTAATGAAATTTGACATTTATTGTATTTTTAAATCGTATTATGTAAGAACTGATTACACGTGTATCACAAATTGAGATTTAATTCATAAGTTGGCAATATAAGCGAAAGTTAACAACTTTTCTCTGTAAAACAATATTTTTTCGAGGTAATTTATGAAAGTTCTGAAAATTCTCAAAATATTTTGCAAAAATTATCAAAAATTACTGTTTTTCTAAATTAGATAAAGTTTAAAATCTTACAATTTTTTAGGTTTTTCGGTATGTTTTTCAACTGAAATTTCGGTTTTTACCAAATTTATAAAAAGTACTAAAACCGAAATTTCGGTATTGTTTCAAGTTAAAATTTCGGCCGAAACCGATACCGAAACAGAATTTCGGTCGATCACTAGTTTACACATTATATGTAAATTTTTGGCTACATCTATAATAAATAATAGTACTTTTTTATATTTTTATGAAAACTAAAGAAAAGGTTTTGAATATTTTATTTTTGCTTTGTTATGTTTAGAAGTTGATAAAAAAACTTATTATCTAACAACAACCTAGAAAAATAGCATGTAGTTTAAATTTCCATACTATTTTATATGTATATATCGATATCGATAATTTTACATCTGTTAGAAAACATATCGATATCAAAGTAGTATCATTAAACATAAATTTTTTTTAACAATTTTCAGTGATTATTAAAAACAAACTCTGAACCTTTATTGTAGCCGAAGACTTCGAAACGTCAATCTCATGTCTTTTCTAGAAAGCAAATTCAATGTGTACAACCCTAACAACTCGTTTGCTATTATAATACGTAATAGAAGACGCGATGACGTGTATAGATGTAATAGAAGACATGATGACGTGATGGAAAGCAGTAAATGAAAATTATTGTAAAAATAATATCAAAAATAAAAATTGTAAAGTACTAATTATAAAATGTTGTTTTTTAAAAATCAATGCGTAACTGGATGTAAAATGTACAGTTTTGTATTTATTATTGAATGAAGCAATTGAGAACCGTCAAGTCAAATCTGCTTCTTCAAAAAAGATACCAAAAGTTAAAAGTCTTGACAGACTTAAAAATTTACAAAAAGTATATACAAACTGATTTAGAAAAAATATAACTTTATTTAAACAGTGGGAAGGATTGTTGTTCTAAAAATTATGAAATTGATGAAAGCTGAATTGTTACTATAAATAAATAAATTAACCTTTTTATTTTATTTTATAGAATGTTTATAAATATTGTCTTTCTGTCATTAATTTTAAAAGAAAAAATAAACTTTGTATTAAAATAAATCCACTATGTATTAGTTTAAATGACTATCCATTTAGAGAAAGTTAACATCAAGGAGTTATAACCAATTGGACAGAGCAATCAATTAACATCTAATATTTAATGTCTTTCAAATCTGATTTTTTGCTCAAGTTTTTTTTTTTATATTTACAACGCGTTTATCTCTTTTACACCTGCCCTTTCTGTATAACAGAGACCACACTCAATTGAGAAATAACCTAATAAGTTAAGGTAATACATATGGAAATAATCATTATCCATATGAAAAAGATTCAGTTAAAAAAGTAACTGAGATAATGATTTCATCATTTGGAAGTAAAAATTTTTAAGTTTAAGAAACTTACATATGTTATTTTATTATTTTACAGTAAGATATAAAGTATTTTAGAAATTCAAAATAAACAAATATATTCGAATGGTGCACCGCCCAAACTTGATTATGGTGCTTTCCGAGTTTGCATGCGGACCATGGTGTACAGGTAAAGTGTAAAGGCATCTTCAATTTTAACTGACAAGTTTCGATAACAAATTCTAATTATGGTGGTTACTGAAAAATTAAAAGTCCTTCATCCGTTGTCAGCTAATTTAAAGCATCTAAGTGCTAATAGCTTTTCTCAAGAACATAGAATAATTCAAAAAAGAAATAGTTTAGGATTTAAATTACAATCAACCTTGTGGATCTCAGCTGTAGGATGTGTCGGGAAAATATTAGTAGGTAAATATCAGAACCATTTCATCATATAATTAAAAAGTCCCCTTGAAAACAAGTTTTAACTAGTTTTATATTGTTTTAAAAGTATATAACTACTAGTTTAATAAAAAATATTTTTTAAAAGTGTTACACTAAATTTGTAATTAGTTATATCCATATTTCTTGTTTTTGAGTGTTTTTTTTTTTTTACAAGTTGTGTGATTTTTTGTGACAAAAAAATTAATAAAATTTTATTCCAGACCATATTAAAATATGAGAATTGTATTTTAGAGTTCTAGGATCAGGTGATTTAACACACCTTATTTTCAAAATGTTTAATTTTTTTAAATGAATTTATCTTTATTGAAATGAGTGCATTTAATATAAAGTTCAAAAAATAATACATACAATAAAATTTATGTTACTAGATTTTATGTCAAAAAAATTAAGATTATTATATATCAAAATAATTCTAATTCTATTCTAAGATTATAAGTTTTATCTATTTTGTTTATGTTAGCACTTACTGTCTCTTTGAAAGTCTTAGTATATGAAAGAGTAAAATAACTTTTTGACAATTTAAGACAATCAGAAATTATGTTAGTAAGCTGGCCATTAATAGAGCATAAACTTGAAGAGTTCAGGGGAAAAAACAGCTAAGTCACATTTTCAATTTTTTGAAAGTATTATGCTGGTCTTGTAGATAATCTTTTGAATTGTATCTTGAGTGATAAATCAAGATAAAAAAAAACATTTCTTTCCATAAAAAAAAGAAAAAAGAAAAAACCAGGTACAATGGAAAAAACAGCTTAGTCCACTGTTTACAATAAAAGAAAAACTTAAGTCACATATCTTTGAAATATTCATAATCAGTGATCTTGGTATCCAATGATTGGTTTTAAAAATAAACATAACTTGATTAAGATAAATTTATATAACAACAGTTTAAAACCCCTTGATTTGATAAGGCTTGTTATGATTAAAATTACTAATAAAGCAAAAAAAAAAAAAAAAAAAAAAGAAAACTAGAGAAAGATTTAGAAATTTTCAAATTTAGAAAAATAAAAACTTTCAACTCATAAAACAAGTCTAAACTGTAATTGCATCAGATTTAAATGTTTTGAAGTTATAATGAGGAAAATGAGGAGTTTCTTTATTAAAATCATTTAAATCAAGAAATCCAAAATTCATTTCTAGCAGGACTTATAACAGTAAATAGAAGAAGACCACATAAATCTTAGCCTAGTAGAAATAATAGTTTTAGCTACAAATATAAGCTGTTTGTTAATAATGTTAACTGTCAATTTGTTCAAGTGCGTTTCAAAGCATTCTTTTCTATATTTGGGATTAAAAAAAGGTAGATTAGAAACAATAAAAAGAATTCTATAAACTACAGATACATTATTTTACATTATAGAAATTTTATATAGAAGCATAATAGTTATGATAGTTGAAAAAGACATTAATGTTTAAAAATATTATATTAGAATATAAATGTACAACATGAATTTATAAATTTAAAACTATAACTTTAGGTGGGCCACCAATAGATATGTGAGGAAAATATTCTACAAGACTACATAAAATTACAGATAATTTACGTAATATAATAATAATCCAAATTTTATCATTCAGATTAAGGCAGTCTCACTATTCACAAGAGAAAACTAGAAGTTTTTATTTACCTGAAGAACTGAATATAAATAATATGTTTAATAAGTTTATGATTCTTCACCCAAATGTAAAAATTTGTTATGAATCCTATAGGGCATTATTTAATAGCAAGTTTAATATTGCATTTGGTTATCCTCGAACAGATACATGTTCAAAGTGTGATGAACTGAAAATAAGAATCGATGCCCCTTCAAAAGATATATCAGCTAATCTTGAAGTACAAGATTTAAAAATCAATCTTAAAAAGCTTGAGTTTGAAAAAGATTTGCATCAAAATAAAGCTGAAATTTTTTTATATAAGAAAATTAAAATCAAGGTTAAAAGCGTTGAGAGAGCAAAGTTGAAGCCTTTGCTTTTGACTATCAAAAAAAATGTGCCAAACAACTCTAGCAATGAGTCCCCTTATATAAGAAATTTTTTTTTCGTTTAATGTTCATTTGTTGGCTAGAAAAGATGTTTTTATCTATTGTTATGATGAAACTCTCGCCAAAAAAGGTGCAGATGAAATGACCTTAATACTGTATGATTTTATTATTCATAATTTAAGTTTGTTAGTAAAAAAGATAGATTTGTTCTGTGATTCTTGTGATGGTCAAAATAAAAATTATACCCTCTTAAAGTTTATAGATAACATGTTTCAATATCAAAAAAGATCAAAAAAACTCTGTTAAAGTTACCTTTCCTAAAAGAGGTCAACTGCAAATCTTAAGTCAATTTACCTTCTGATTGGGTTAAGATTTAAAAAAAAAAAAAAAAATTCTCCCCACGTGCTTAAACCTAAGAGGACATGTTCAAAAATATGGCTTTTTTTTTAAATCCTCACTACAAAGCTAGATGTCCTGTAGCTAAAACGCGGTAGTGGTGTTTCTTAGTTGCAGAGTTAAGAAAGGGTTGTAACCACAACCTCTACTATAGTGGCCTTGGAGAGGTGAATAATAATAAAAAAAGCCACAAGACCTCTTTGAGAAGTGTTTTTTTCTGTTAACTCTCCTAGATATATATCTTAGAGACTCTTGAAATGGCGTATATTTAAACACATTTATTGGTAGAAATGTAGGAAGTAAAAGAAAACTGTCATTATTAGAAAACCCTTCAAACTTGCGTTCTGAGAGACTATGTATACCAATGGATAAATTTAAAGATCTCCAGGTACTTAAAAAGTTTACAAACCAACCTGGTTTTTTTGATTCACTGCCACATGATGATAACAAAGATGACCAGGATGATTTTGAATAAATATGAAGTTTTTTATTAAAAAGTTATCTTGTTTGAAAAAAATATATTCTTTTGTTGTTTGTTTTATAGTGTTTTGAAATTACCTTATTCTAGTTGTGCTTATTTCAAACAGAGCTAATTAGCTAATGTTTAAAATGATAGAAAAATAAAAGGTCAGAGGGCCCGCTATAGTACAACTATAGCCCACTATAATTAGAAATTACGATTTATTTCTTACCCAAATGATAAGTGGGAAGGTTTTTTTGTAAATGTGATATGGTAAACAAAAATACAAATTTATGCATTTGGTACCTTTAAGCGCATTTTCGATTTCTATAACTTACTTTAAGTTAATTTAGATTTTTATCTTTACGTGATCCTGGGAATAACTGAAATTTTAAATTTATTAATCAAAGAATCAAACATTTTTGAACTTAGTTTACCTGTAATGAGTTTATACTAAATTTAAAAATAGCAGAATTTGAGTCAATCTTGACCCAATTTACCGATGACTAATATATAATTTTTCAAAAAGTCTGCATGACTTATTAGCTTCTGCATTGTCTACTGTAAACTTGAACCATACGCTTGGCATTAAAAAAAATGCAAAAAATTATTTTTATTATGATATTGTCATAAATCTAAATTTTTTTTTTTAAAATTTTTTTTTTTAATTTTACTTCATCTCCTCAAGGCCGAGAAGGCCACTACAGACGAGGAGGCTACTTATTTTATGGCTATAACCCTCTCTTAACTCTATAACTCCGAAACACGAACCTTGACGAACAAGGCCGCTGCGCGGAGAAACGAGTTGAGCGCGGTACTACCAGGGACGTGGTGGGGATCGAACTCCAAACCACTCGTTTATGAAGCGAGCGCTCTACCACTACACTACTAAATAAAAAATATAAATGAAAAATAAAGATTTTGCAATGTTTTATCAATTGTAGAGCATTTTAAAAAATTTTTAATTTTAAAAAAGTTACTTTGTAACTTTTTTAAAATTTTAAGATAAAGTTCTTAACATTTTTTTTTCCCCTGTACTCTTCACTTTTGATTGTTTTTAAAATTTCTCTCAAGTCCCTAATAAAAGGGGGGGGGGCATTTATTAATTTATTAAAATGCTTATATTGTAACATTAAAAAGTTCCTATCTCCCCCTCCCCCTTCCTTTTTTTATTAAAACTCCTTTGTTTATTAGATCTGCACTAAAATTTTTTTTAGAGAGTATTGGGTTTATTAAGGATTTTGCCCCCCTGCTTCCCAACAAAAAAAAATCTGATATTCTACAAAACAGTGTGGCTGAGCTTTATTTCATAGATGAGTTTTTTCCGTGAATTCCCAAAATTCCGTAAATTCACGTAAAACTCCTTTAATTTTCCAGAAATTTCCTGATATTTTTTGTTATTAATTTGAAAAAAAAATTATATATTTTTGCATAAAATTTTAAATACAACAACTTTTGCTTTTAAACAAATATGTTTTCTATAATTAAAATTTTCATGAGATCAATTTTTGTAACAATTTTTTTTTTTTTTTGCTTTTTAATTCATTCAAATTAACTTTTTTGAATATTAGAAATTCCTTTTTGTAAAAAGTTAAATAATCTAAATTCCGTTTTAAAAGTTTACGAATTTAAAGTTAATACGATCAATTTTTAATAAAATAATTTTCCAGGATTTTCATAGAAAAAAGTTTCCAGAATTTTCATAAAGTCAAACACACATCTATGATATTTACAAGCTTTAATTGTTTCCTCAGCTTATATATAATTTTTTTTATCCATTATCAAAAAAACATACATTGAATTTTTTTATGGAAAATAAAATCATTTTTAATGTTATTCAGAAATTTATCATAAGTATCAAGTGCAAATAATATAAGTTAAAAAAAAGGTAAAATTTAAAAATAAAAAACTGTAATATATAAAAATATATTGATATAATTATGATGTGAGATTATTAAATCATTTTTTCTCATCCTAAAATAGTACAAAAGTAGCTCTTTTTGCTGACAACTCAACTTAATACTCTTTATGTCTTGAGAAAAAGTCTTCTCTTTTGAATATGATCTCCAAAAAGTGACAGCTTGGGCTTGCAATGGCTTGTTCAACTCCAAAAATTAAGATGTTTGCTGCAAACAACTATAGCAATATTGTTCACATACTCTCATAGATTTACTGAGTCTTCTATTATACGTCTTCTTGGATTATCTTTTATTATTGACTACTCATGGAAACCATATATACAATCGATTGCTAAATTAGCATCTGCTAACATTGCTTATAATTATTGTGCTAGTCATTTTCATACTCCTGATTCCATTCTCTATCTATATGAATCTCTCTATATATTTGTCCCTGTGTGAAAACTGTTGAATGTCCTTTTGATTCTAGACAAAGTTCAAAAATGTATTGTAAGCGTAGTAGGACCTGCGCCATTTGCCAATACTACCATTACCGTGGTAATATTGGCAAATAGAGCACTTATTCTCACTTGATTTGACATTTAGTAACTCCCATCTAAATAATGGTTGTTTGCAGTCATGTTGGGAGTAAATAAGTTAAAAAAAAACAACTCTTACAAGCAATACAAACTGGTTTATGAATTGCTTTTTATAATAATATAAAATTTAATTCAGTATAAATTAATAAAGTATAAATTATTACTTATAAAGAACAGAATAACTAACTTAATATTTCTATTTAACAGTCTGCACTATTTTTAAAATCCTTGTTATAAGTGTATTGTTTTTTAAATGCTTGTTGTATTCAAATAATTCTCAAAGTAATTGAATTGTTTGTTTCAGATTGGTGTAATAAAGTAACAGTTTACAATAGAGAATTATTTTTAAACCTTATTCATAATCGTCCTGCTGGTACTCCACTTATCACTGTCTCAAATCATACTTCAATGTTTGATGACCCAGGAATAGTTGGTATACTTTTTTTTTATTTGAAGTTTTTAAAACTAAGTATTTTTTGTTTAATGAAGTCTCATAACAACCTGTTATTTTTCCAACAACCCGTATTTTTCAAATATGTCAATAGTGTCTAGTTTGATGGAAGTGCAGTTGAAAATATTTGTAAATCAAAAAATAATTTTTTAATTTTTTATATGGCCACTTGTTGGCCATATAGATAGTAAATAATCATATGTTTTTTAAAAGTAATCACAACTTGAGCTACTACTTTCGAAGGACAGTATTTTATTTTGAATTTTAAAAGTTATTTTTCTACCCTTATTGGTTGTGTTCGTATTGCTGCCAATCCTTTTTCCATCACTTCATTCAATTGTTAACTAAATATTTTGACAATATAATCACATTCGTGGCTTGAAAAAGCCTGTTTTAACTGAACACAACTATCACTACTCAAGTCTACTGCTGTTATTATATCCAGCGCTCGAAATAACAGCCGATCAACGATCAATGATCAGCTATTTTTAGGGAAATTTAGAAAAATTCAAGGGAAAATAAGCTGTTTTTGTCAAAAAATTACATTTGATCGGCAAGTTTTGAAAAACTATTTCGAGCGCTGTATATCTGCCTAGTTTAAACACTTTATCAGGTTTATCATAATTTTTTTGTTTTGGGTACTTGTATTTGGTAGAAAAACTTCTGGGATTTTTTATGAAGTAACCTGGCTATGAAGATATACTAAGCTTCTTAACGGTGTTCTCCTGTCTTTAATTCGGTGACTCAAAGCATCATGCAATTGTTTTTGATTTCAGATTGTTGTTCTTTTATTTTTGTCAACATAAATTATAATGCAATGTTAGAAGAAATTAAAGTTGAGTATTGTTGACAAAGTGCTACCACAGTTTTTTTAACCCAAGTAAAATGTACTACTAAATCAGATATCATTCTACAGGCCTTGCGATAAAGCGTCGAGCGATGTGAATTTTACGTCGTCCAAGAGCAATTTTGCGTGTAGCTAGGGCTATTTGCGTCGAGCAAAAAAAATTTTGTTTGAGTATATTTAAAGATATTTTTGAGGGGAATTTTAATGAAATAGTTTACATTTATTTTAGCATTTAATAAAGTATTTTAAAAACCGCTCGCAGTTGATATAAAAATTTGAATTACAAAAAAATTAAATATGCTCATTATTTACAAGTAGAAAAAATTTAGATTAAAAAAAAAGTTAAAATCTTTTTAAGCTAACATTTTAATAAAATTATTCAGCAATAGCAAAGTTGTCGATAAAATTGAACAAAAATACTTTCTTTTAGTTTTAGATTTTTAACTTGAATAATTATTTTACGGGGGTTTGTTAGGTTTTAAAATTATTCCATAGATTTAAAAAGACTTATGCTGAAAAAACTCCACCTAATTCAGTTACTTTTTACAAAAATTTTAATAACTGTACTTTTTTATTGAATCAAGTAGAATATGTTTTAATATTAACCCTTTTATTTTTTTTTTATTTGCGCTTACCAATTTTTAAAATGTTTCCTCGAAATTACTCTTAAATACTTTAAATATGTCTAACAGTTAATAAAAAGCAATTGTTATTAAGTAATTTTTTTTGAGTTACTTTTTACAAAAATTTTAATAACTGTACTTTTTTATTGAATCAAGTAGAATATGTTTTAATATTAACCCTTTTATTTTTTTTTTATTTGCGCTTACCAATTTTTAAAATGTTTCCTCGAAATTACTCTTAAATACTTTAATTAACTGTTAGACATATTTAAAGTATTTAAGAGTAATTTCAAGGAAACATTTTAAAAATTGGTAAGCGCAAATAAAAAAAAATAAAAGGGTTAATATTAAAACATATTCTACTTGATTCAATAAAAAAGTACAGTTATTAAAATTTTTGTAAAAAGTAACTCAAAAAAAATTACTTAATAACAATTGCTTTTTATTTACTGTTAGACATATTTAAAGTATTTAAGAGTAATTTCGAGGAAACATTTTAAAAATTGGTAAGCGCAAATAAAAAATAAATAAAAGGGTTAATATTAAAACATATTCTACTTGATTCAATAAAAAAGTACAGTTATTAAAATTTTTGTAAAAAGTAACTCAAAAAAAATTACTTAATAACAATTGCTTTTTTGTTAAAAGTTACCGAAACTCAACGAAGCGTGCTCAAGAAGCGTGCTAAATTCTAATATTTTATTTTATTTTACTAGAAACAAAAGTCCTTATAAACATTAAAAATCTATTCAAAACGTTCGTTAAAGTTTTTTAGTAATATGAGTGATTGTGCTTATCGACCGCTTTATGAAAATAAATATAAATAAAAAAATATTATATAAAATCGCTGGTAAAAATATTAGCTATTGCACAGTTTTTAATCGTACAATATTAAAATTTCCAGTTTATTAATCGCTGACTTTTTAAAAAGAAATATTAATTATTTGAAAAACTTTAAATTACATATTTGAGAAAAAATCAAATATTAGCATATTTTATAATCTTTTTTAAATGTTTAGTTATGTTTTTTATTCGTTTAGTATAGACAAAACGTGTCAAACGTCGACAAAATAAACAAATGTTTTTACATTTTAAAAAACGAAACATTCCAAAACATTTTTAAATAATAACATTTCTGCATTAATGATTTAAAGTAGTTTTGCGGTAATTAAGTAAATTGGTGCAGTTAATGTCGATAAATATGAAAAACAAATAAAAAGAATTTAATGAAGTCAAAAATCATGCGTGCTTATGCTTCGCGCAGTTTTTATTCACCACAAGGCCTGATTCTACATTCTTTTTTGTTCATCTTGAATTCCAACATTGAATTCCAACATAGAATCATCAATGTTGGAATTCAATTCTAAATGTAGAAGTGCCTTTTTAACACAAAAATATTTTAAATTTTAATTTCACAAATCAGTCTAGCATAAGCAACAAGCTGCTCCATTGGGTTTTGCAGCCCATGAATAAATGGATGACTTTTATAAACTCAAATTTTACATACTTTTGTAAATAATTTTCATTTTTGTTTGGCGACCTTTTAAACATTTTTACAATTTTCTTGACTTTTTTTGTTTCTTGACGGGTCCAATAATTTGGTGCTCAATTTTAACTTCAGATGTTTCAATAATTAACAATGAATGATTTGAATCTCAAATATAATCTTCCTCTTTAGAAAATTTTGGAGACTAATCCCAGGATTTTGGTATGGAACAATTTGTACAGGATCCTGGGATAGATACATCTAGTCATATGGTTCTCCTACTTGGTAATTCATTGCTTTTTTTGGAGATATTTAAGAAAATGCTATTACTATGTAGATTAAACGAAAAAAGTGTACAAATTTTAAAATAAACAATAAAAAAAGAAAAGAAATTGAATTAGGTGGAGTTTTTTCAGCATAAGTTTTATCTAATGACAGCAGAAATATCTAGAGGTTGAGATTGAAATTCTTCCTTAAACAGAATAGCTGCCTTTTATGTTTGCTCCATTAATAACCTCAACAGTTCTGCATGTCTAATCCTTGTTTTTTTTTTTTTTAAGTTTGTTTAAGAAAAGGTAAATCAAGTGCTCCTATTTGACATTCTACAGCTAAAAAACAAAATGAAATATTTATGGTAATTTTTTTTTCCATTTAAACACAATAATAATCAACAACAATTGTTCTGTGAGAAAAGGTCTGGTGTGCAGTCTAGAATAAAAGAAAAATATTTTCCTTTCTTGTACCACAATAATTTCTTTTCTTATTGATTTAACCATAAAAATTATTCATTTCATTATGTATGTGTTTATTAAGGTAACTACAACAAGTTTCTTCTGATTTGATTTGCCATATGTGCTTTTGCAAAATTGATCATATTTACCCAGAAGTTTAATCACATTTTGCTCTAACTTGCTCTATATGAACTTTACTATTGCTCTATATGCTCTGACTATACTTTAACTTGCTCTATATGTTCTAACTTTACTATTAACCCACAAATAGTCTCTTTCTGCTAAGAAGTTTATAAATAAAAAATATATTCCTAGCGCAGCTGTCATTTTTTTCCCTCTCTTTATCTATTATTTTATTATGTTCTAAATCAATTGTCTTATATTTTTTAATTGCATTACTTAATTATTGTAGTGACCCATTTCTTCCACAAGACTTATTGTTTTTGTGATTTTCTAACTTTTTTGATATTCTAACACACACCACCACCGACATATGGAAATACTTTGATAACAGGTTGCAACACACTACACCACCAACATATGGAAATACTTTGAAAACAAGTTGCAACACACACCACCAACATATGGAAATACTTCAATAACTGGTTGCAACACACACCACCACCAACATATGGAAATACTTTAATAACAAGTTGCAACACACACCACCACCAACATATGGAAATACTTTGACAACAGGTTGAAACACACACCACCACCAGCATATGCTTTGATAACAGGTTGCAACAGTAGTAGAACACAGTATTTTTAAGTTTATGTTGATCCACCTTTTTGCCATTAGGAAGAATTCAAGTGTTATAAGCAACACTAAATCTTTGAGAATCTTTTTTATCTTGATAAAAGAAAAAAATTTCTATTTGATCAGGGTTGCTTAAGTTCTGTCATTTGATAAAACTTAAGTAATCACGGTAGCCAAAGTATTTAGGCCATTGGTTGTCTGTTGGTTGGTTAACAATTTTTCCTTGATCACTGGGAGTTACAGTAATAAAAGTTACATAATTATCATTGCTGTTTTTCCAATAATTTTGGGTATATTTACTTCATCACTAGCTAGAATGTCACTTTCAGTGAACATTTTTTTATCTGTATAATTATGTATTATGTCAGTAACAATAATTGTAGATGAGTTACTTCTTTCATTAGAAACTCTTTAGTCAAGAATATATTATTCTAATTTCTAAAGTTTTTCCGTCAGCAAAATCATTTCTATTTCAGAAATTTTAAAATATTCAGAAAGAGCAATTGAACCAATGTCATTTTTTAATGTTTTTTTTTTACTATTATTTACTATTTATGTTATTTGAATGTGTTTAAATTGTGTTTTTAATGTTTATTAAATTTGTTTGATTATTTAAGTTTTTTGTGAATAGCTACCATTATGGATCTTAAAGCAATAGTAAACCAACAAAAAATGAGATGGTATGCTTTAACTCATTCTGACTATTTATATATTTTTTCCTAATATTTATGTTTCACTATTTAAGATGAATTTTAAATTATTAAAATCTTCATTTTTAGGTCTATGGCTGCAAAAGAAATTTGCTTTGCAACTTGTTTTACATCCTACGTCAGTCATCACGGAAAGGCTTGAGTAGTTTCTATCATCAAATCTTTGCTGTTTTCTTTCTTTGTTTTATATTATTGCAAGTGCTTTTTTCAATTACCTAAGAATTTTGAAATATCTATTGTCTTTATTTAAATGTTTATTAGTTTTTAAAATTGTGTTTACAACCTTTATTTTATAGCTTATTCCAATTGAGCGAGGTAAGAATCATTTTGAATTAAATTATGAGTTGTTTTTACTTTTTTTTTAATTCTTTTTAATCCGTTTATTGTCTTTCTTAAACAATTCTATTTAGAATTATTTTTATTTGTATAAATTAGATTATACATTATTAATGTAATAATCAATTTATCAATAAAAATTTTTTGACTTTAAACAATCAATTGTTTAATTGCTGCTCTAGTTAATAAAACTACCGAGTAATTAAAATAAATATTGTAATCATAAAACATCTTTAAAACAATTATGAAATTTTTCCTTGTAAGCCGTAAGCCATTTCACTCGAGCCACTTTTTATAATTTTTTAATATTTAAACAAGTCTGAAGCAGTTTAAGAAGTTCAAACCACTTATGATGTTTGAATGACATTTATGTAAATAATATTGAATGACAATTATATTTGATATTAGCGTTATTTACAAATGTAATTAACACTAGTTAGAAATGTAGAAAAAACAAAGAAATTTTTTATTAACTTAACTTTTCCATCAAAAATGTGCAGCAAGAGAAAAAAAGATGTAATATGATGCATAAAAAAGAAATCATAAATAAAAAATATTTAAAAAACTTCTATTTATATTTATCATATTGCAAATGCAAGAATATTTATTCAGACAATTTCTCATAACAAACAATAACAAAAATAATTACCTAATTTAAAAAAAAAAAAGACAAAAAATTATAAGTTAAAAAGTAGTAGACATTAATTTTTTTTATATATTAGCACCACTTTTGATATTTTAGTTTTATTTTGTTTATTATGTATGCATTATAATACGTACTTATGCAACAAGAGGGGAATATAACGCATAGAGGTGTGTAAAGGTGTCTAGAGAGATTTCATGTGTAGAGGTGCCTTAGAGAGGTGCTTTAGAGTGATTTAATTCGTAAATGCTTAAGTAGAAGTAAAAAGATGCTGATAATTAACAGGCACATTTTATTTAAGCGTGCATATTTAATATTATTTAATAACTAAATTTTTTTTTTTTTTTTAAATCAGATTATTATTATAGTCATATTTTTCTCGGTTTTTCTACTTTTCTACTATTTACAAAAAATTAAATTCATTGTAAACATTTAACTTTTTCATCATTAGGCAAGTGAAAGCGCAACAGTATATATTTTTTGATAAACGGTACTTGGAAACTTAAATCTTTGTTTGTTACAAAAAAAGTGCTGGTAAAGTAAATAACCTGAGTTTTTTTTTTTTTTGCAACAAGTAATTTTTTTATTTGTTAATAACTTTTTAAAAGTAAAAAATCATTGTTATTTGCAAAGCTACAATTTTAAGAAATAATGAAAAAAAAATTAACATATTTTAATTTGTTTATACAAATGTTGAGAAAAGAAAGAAATTGGTTTATGTTAAATGATAATAAAAAATGTAATATTAAATTTAGTTATTTAATATTAAAACACAAAAACAAATTGAAACAAAATATACATTCCACAATATGTTTGTTTACAAAATAACACTCATAGATATGTTTTTCTTAATTGGTAAATTAAACTTGTTTTGCGATAATTTATTTTATTGCTGTAGTTTAAAAAAGTTGATGTCCATAAATAAAATAAAAAACACTCACATACACACTTACACATACGCACACACATTAAATGCTACAATTTTATAATGAAAATATTTTATAGGAAAGGGAGTGTATCAGGATGGAGTAAATTATGCTATTCAAAAACTCAATGCTGGTGATTGGGTACATGTGTTTCCTGAAGGTTGGTATTTTAGTTTTTTCTACTTTTTTTTTTTTTTTATTTTTTTTTTTTTTTAACATCTTCACTTCCAACAAGGCTGCAAGCAACCACTATAAGAGTTGGAAGTTACTGGAAGAGAAAAGACTAAATCTGTAGAGCAAGATGACGATTGACTGATGACTTAAAAGATTGCAAATTATATGAATCAGGAAAGCAAGATGAAGGAAGCGAATTCCAAAGAACTGATGTTCGAGGAAAAAAACTAGAAGAATAAGAGTTTTTGAAGCACTTAGGAACAGTCACAGAAAAAGGATGAGACTTAATTGAATGGCGAGTAACACGAGAATGAATTTTAGTAGATGGCACAAGGGACGCTAGCTCTTTAGAGCAGTGCCCATTATAGTATTTGTAGAAAAGAGAAAGAGAAGCAACATTACGACGATGTGACAAAGGTTGGAGATTGGCTGCCAGAGCAGGCCCAACTATGTTTACAATTCGTTTTTGCACCTTGTCTAAAAGAGAAAGAGCATCATTAGAAGATCCGCCCCAGATGTGGCAACAGTATTCCATACAGGGACGGATTTGAGATTTATAGAGATAGAGAATAGAATCTGGAGTAAGAAAGTGTCGAGCTCGATAAAGAGATGCAACCTTAGCAGATGCTAATTTTGCAATGGATTTGATATACGGTTTAAAAGTAAGATCAGAAGTAAGAGTTAATCCTAGAAGATGAATGGTAGATGACTCATCTAGTACATTACCATTCATAAATATAGGAAGATCTAAATTATTACGATAACGATTGGCCGAATGAAATTGAGTTTTATCTGAATTAAAGTTCACCAGCCACTGTGAGCCCCATGCTGTAGCAGAAGTGAGATCCTTTTCAAGCTCAGATACCCCCTCCAAGCAATCAGAGAGTGTAGGCTTCTTATCATGACAAGAGTAAATGGTAGTGTCGTCAGCGAATAATGCCACCTTAGATGTGAGAATATCTGGAAGATCGTTAATGTAAATTAAAAAGAGTATAGGGCCAAGGATTGAACCTTGAGGAACCCCTGAAGTTACAGGATGTGAAGAAGAGTGTTGTCCATCGAGGACAACTTTTATACTACGATTGGAAAGAAAGGACTCAATAATCTTAAAGACGTTACCAGCTACACCATAAGAAGAAAGCTTATGGAGAAGACCAGCATGCCAAACTTTATCAAAAGCTTTAGAAATGTCAAGTGCGATAGCCTTAACCTCTCCACCTCTATCTAATGCACGGTAAAACCTATCGGTTATTACTGTTAGCACATCAGCTGTAGAACGAGAAGACCGAAATCCATATTGATGATCAGAAAGTAAGTTATTTGATTCAAGATGAGAGATTAAGTGTTTGTTGATTAAAGATTCAAAAACCTTGCTTATGACAGGAAGAAGACTAATGGGACGGTAGTTAGATGAATCAGATCGCTCTCCGGAATTTTTGAAAATAGGGATAACAGATGCTGCTTTCCAGCATGATGGAAAACAAGACTCTGATAAGCACTTGTTAAATAGTTTAGAGAGTATGGATGAAAGCTCAGGAGAACACCTCTGCAAGACTACAACAGGAATGTTGTCAGGACCACAAGCTGTTGAAGAGTCTAAGCAGGAAATTACTTTAGATACAGAAGCTGAAGTGATGCGAATGTCAAGCAAGGGATCAACCTGTTTGACGGCTATGTCAGGTAAAACGCAACTAGTGGAATCAAGAGATGATATTGATGAAAAGTTCTTAGCAAACAATTCAGCTTTGTCTTTAGGTGAGGTGACAAAGTCTGAACCATACAAGAGAGAAGGAATAACAGATTTGCCCTTATTATTGATACTGTTAAAGATTCTCCAGAAGTCTCGAGAGCCTAATTTTTGTGATGAGATACGAGATTTAATGACCTGGGAATAGCGAGCTTTGGCGTCAGACAAAACCTTTTTACAATGGTTTCTGGCGATAGTGAACAGATGTCTGTTTTCTGGAGAATTGTTTTGCTGATAGATATGGAAGTAACGGTTTCGATTAGAAATTGCTGCAGCGCAATGTGAGGAAAACCAAGGAGAAGAGTGAGGCTTGACCTGGAATCGTCGAGAGGGAATAAAAGATTCCATGCCAGCCTGAATCCACGAAGTTATGTAAGAAGCACATTTGTCAGCAGGAAGACGAAAGATTTCTACCCAAGGGCCATCACGAAGAAAATCACGGAAAGAGTCCCAGTCAGCTTTAAGGTAGTTGTATGTGGTACGATGATAGGGGGATTCTGATGAAGTAGAAGAATTTGATAATAGTTTTAGAGAGATCAAACCGTGATCAGAAGTACCTAAGGGTGAATGTGGAGAAATTGAGCACTGACTAGGATCCAAAACAAGACATAAGTCGAGTAGAGAAGGTAAATGATTAGGGTTGTCTGGAAAACGAGTTGGAAAGTTGACTATTTGAGTTAGAGATTGAGAAAGGCAAAAGTTGAGGGCCTTAACGCTAGCAGAGTCACTGACACTAGAGCCAAGCCAATCGGTGTGATGGGCATTAAAGTCACCAACAACGACGATATTGGCCGATGGATAAAGAGAGAGGGCTTGGTCAATTTGATCAGAAATAACATCAAGAATAGTGCAATCTTGGGATGAAGGAGAGCGATATAGAACAAAGAGAAAGGCGATAGAGTGAAGTTGTGCTAAACGAAAGCACATAAATGAATAGTCTGTAGATTCAAACCTAGTTTCACGACAAATGGGTGAGTTCTTACGAATGTAGATGCCCAGGCCACTTATCTTCTTTTTATTTGGTTAATCAATTAAGTTAATATTATTTATAACAAAAAAATTCAGTTTAATTATTAAGTCAGAAAGTATTTTATTAGATTTAAGATAAGATATTAAGTGTTTGTTAGTTAAAGATTTGAAAATCTTGCTTACGATAGGAAGAAGACTAATGGGATGATGGTTAGAGGAGTCAGATCGCTCTCCAAAATTTTTGAAAATAAGGATAACAGATATCGCTTTCCAGCAGGTTGGAAAACAAGACTCTGATAAACACTTGTTAAATAGTTTTAAAAGTATAAACAACAGCTCCGGAGAACACTTCTGCAAGACTATAACAGGTATGTTGACTAGACCACAAGCTGTAGAAGAGTCTAAGCAGGAAATCACTTTAGATACAGAAGCTGGAGTGATACGAATGTCAAACAATAATAATTTGTCAGCTATATCAGGTAGAATGCAACTAGTGGAATCAAGAGATGATATTATTGAAAAGTTCTTAGTAAACAATTCAGCTTTGTCTTTAGGTGAAGTGACAAAGTCTGAACCATACAAGAGAGGTGGAATAACAGATTTGCCCTTATTATTGATTCTGGTAAAGATTCTCCAGAAGTTATGAGAGCCTAATTTTTGAGATGAAATACAAGATTTCATGATCTGAGAATAGCATGATTCAGCTTTAGTTAAAACCTTTTTACAATGATTTCTAGCAATAGTAAACAGACGTCTGTTTTCTGGAGAATTGTTTTGCTTATAGATATGGAAGTAATGGTTTTGATTTTCGATAGTTGCAGTAGCACAATGCGAGGAAGACAATGGAAAAAAGTGAGGCTTGACTTAAAATCATCGAGAGGTAATAAAAGATTCCATGATAGCCTGAATCAAAGAAGTTATGTAAGAAGCACATATGTCAGCAGGAAGACGAAAGGTTTCTACCCAAGGACTATCACAAAGAAAATCACCGAAAGAGTCTCATCAAACCATGATCAGAAGCACCTAAGGGTGAATGTGGAGAAACTGAGCATTGCCTAGGATCAGAAAGAAGACATAAGTCAAATATATATATATATATATATATATATATATATATATATATATATATATATATATATATATATATATATATATATATATATATATATATGTATATATATATATATATATATATATATATATATATATATATATATATATATATATATATATATATATATATATATATATATATATATATATATATATATATATATATATATATATTAGTTTTTGGGCGAGGTATCTATTTATTTATTAAGCAAAATACTTATTAAATACAAAATTTAATTTTACTCTTGTTACAAGCATTTGCTTGTAACGTTAATAGAATATATGCATAATGAACATCATTTATCACGCTGCGAAAAAATTTCTTAGACGAGCCTTTTCTTTAGATTTTCACTATATCTCTGTGTATGTATTAGTAGCTATCCATTGATTAGAACTTTACTAAAAATAAACAATCCCATTTTGTAATAAAAAAAAGTCAATCTGAAACTCGAACTTTGTTTTTTGTTTATTTGATGTAGTTTGCACAAGAACTTTTAACTTTTCTTATCATTATCTAAAAATAGAGAAGAAAATAAAGTGGTTTATATTTATGAAAAAATTATACTTTGGCAAGGGCTTTAAAATTCTCCCGTAAAACACTTTAAGGAAGTGTGGAGGAGAACGAGAGTCAGATATAGGCACCCCCTGTGCTGTTTTTAAGACCTGTTTGAGGGGGGCAACCATTGTTCATTTTTAATGAAAAAATCTCAAGAATAGTCCAAGGGACGGCGATATCCGACAATTATTTTAATACCTGTATACCTGCATTGTATTATTATAAAATTACTGTTTTATTTAGGAAAGATAACTTCAGAAATTGTCAGACTAAAATGGGGTAAAAATTTTAACCTTCATTGAGTTTAATTTTGTATTTATTTTTTGTTTTAAATTATGTTTATCAAATTAATGCTACTTGTGTTAGGTGTTGGCAGGATGATTAATGAATGTGTAAAAACGCCGATTATTTTACCATTTTGGCATGTTGGTGAGTGACCTGTACTTTTTTTTTTTTTTTTACAATAATTATAAACCAGTATTATTCAGTTTGAAATTTTTAATATTTTAGGGATGCAAGAATTTCTTCCGCTAGAAAATGACATATATATACCTTTTTTCGGACATGTAACTTTACCTAGAATTAAAAAGGTTTGTATCCTTTCCAAATGTGAAAGTATTCCGTAGAAATACAATACATTAATGTGTTTTGTAGAAATATAATACGATAAAAGCTTGGCTGAGTTAATGTACGGGATTTAGTCAGGGATTTGTTTTTTTGGGGTTATATTGTTGCTTCTCTTGCTAATTTTTGATTTTTTCATGTAGAATTTTGATTACATTTTAATTAGAAAATCACTGTTTTGTTTGGCGATCCGATACCAGTATGCGACATTTTAGTGAAATTTCATTCGGGCGAACTTAATGAAGTACTTTTCTATCTGATCTATTTTTTTAATTTAAAAATTTTTTAAACTTTGACAAGTATGCTGATGCTGCGAATTTATTTTTTACTAAATTAGGTTAGCGCAAGGATTCAGCTCACTAATCGAATACAAGATGCGTTTCGGCAACTTCGAATTATTGCCGAGGATCTACACACTAACAGAGGGTTTCTTAGCAAATAGTTTTAAAAATGAAAACTTAGCATTAGTTATTTTCAGGGATGCGGAGTTCCAAAGATTCATGCTGTAAATTTTTTTTTTCTGTTCTCTGGTGTCCAGGAGCTTTATAGGTGTTGAGTGGTTTATGATTTACATCAAGAAAAAAATTCATGAGATTTGGAACCTATTGTTTTCTTAGCCAAAAGTCCCTTGTCGCCATTATACATTAAACATTCCTCTATATTTTTTTTTTAAAAAGTAGTGCATAATCCTCTTTACATTTTTGGACCTTCTTGAGATCGAAAACCAGGAAAAAATAATCATTTTATGACTTTCAAATCCGGAGTTCTTTATGGGACTCTGCATCCATTTTTTTAGTTATATTTAAAGCTTGATATTCTGATTGTAGAGTAAAGTTTAAAATCCAACAATTTGTAAATGTTATAAATGATAATAAATTTTTATCTCAAAATTCACCAATAGAAATAAAATTTTATATTTAATGCACTTTTTAAGGGTTTTTTTAGTTACGTAGCAAATGCCAAAAAAGCATTTTTTTTAATTACAAGTTTTAAACGAATGTTTGTAACTTTTGTAAAATTTTAATTATTAAATAAATGTATTCAATTTTTTTTCAAAATAATTTTTACTCTCTCTCTCTTTATATATATATATATATATATATATATATATATATATATATATATATATATATATATTTTTATTTTTTTTTAATTCACCTCCTCAAGGCCGAGAAGGCCACTACAGACGAGGAGACTTATTTGTGGTTATAACCCTCTCTCAACTCTATAACTCCGAAACACGAACCTTGACGAGCGAGGCCGCTGCGCGGAGAAACGAGTTGACGAGGAGATATATACACATGTGTATATATATATATGTATATATATATGTATATATATATATATATATATATATATATATATATATATATATATATATATATATATACCCATATAGTGTAGTCGAAAGAGCGTTTTAATGTAAAAAAAGTCTCTTACGACTACATTTTTAATTACCTCGTCTCTTAAGCTGTTTTTGATTGTCATCGAAATGTCCAAGCAATTAATTTATGCGGAAGTACATTAAATTTAATTGTTTTTCAAAAAACCGCAATTATAACGACTAGAAAGTTTTTTTTAATTGGTGGTGTTTTTGTTATTGATTTAATAAAAAACATTTTTAAAACATGCGTAAATGTTGCTACATCGACTATCTTATAGCCTGACTCGCAACGGAGTGCTGCTACATCGACTGACAAATAGCCTGACTCGCAACGGAGTGCTGCTACATCGACTGACAAATAGCCTGACTCGCAACGGAGTGCTGCTACATCGACTGACAAATAGCCTGACTCGCAAGGGAATGCTGCTACATCGATTGACAAATAGCCTGACTCGCAAGGGAGTGCTGCTACAACGACTGACAAATAGCCTGACTCGCAAGAGAGTGCTGCTACATGGACTGAGAGTTTGGTTTGGCCAGGCAGTCAATTAAAAAAAAAAGTTTAATTTTTAAAACCATTTCTGGTCTGGTTTATTAACGCGCTCTTTAAAACTCCAGTTTATGGGAAACTTTTTTTGATGCCATGCAAGAGACATGCAAGAGTATACATATATATACAGGGGCGGATTTAAACCCCGTCAAGTGCTGCAAGTGACGGGGTAAAAAAAGTAAATATAAATATTGGTACTATGACGTCTTACACCCGCTTAACACGAATTGCCGGTCTTAATATTTTTGTTATATTTTGTTAGAAAATACAATTAGGAAGAAGTTCACAGTGAAAACTATGTTTTGCAGAGATAGCAAAAATTGTTTTATAAAATAGCTAATGTAAACTATACTTTGCAGGATATGAGATAATTATTTAATTAAAACTTGCTAATTTAAATTATACTTTGCAGGATATGAGAAAATCAAATAAAGTAATAGACTCACAGTTCCGATAACTTAGTGCGTGCGAACATTTAACAGTACGTCATTGTACCTTGTGCGCAGAATCGCATGAAAGAAAGTAAATACACAAATATATTATGAAAGCATTCTTGAAAGAAACAGTTGTTTACATGAGATTCTTTACTTTGATTTATAATAAAAGTTTCGATTTTAAATTATTTAACTTTATTTTAACTATTTTAAGGCTAAATTTATATTATTTATATATTTATACTTTTTATATGTTGGTTTTAAAGGATATATATGAAAGAAATAAAAGCTCTTAAAGAATACTCTTTATCTTTTGCATTTCACTCATTTCTAGTATGAAATGTGCATTGGTAGTTGTGTTTGTGTGTATATTAACAATTTAACAATCTTTTTTCCCAAAAGCTCATTTTTATTAATCAATATTAAATACTTTTACACTCAACGTACAAATTTGTTTTTTCCTTGATTACAAATATTATATTACAAAAGCATATAGATTTTAAACTTAAAATGGGTAAAATAAACTTATATTAAACTAAATCAATTTTTTTTTTTTTTTTTAAATTTCAAGTAAACAACTGTTTATTTCAAGGTTACTGTCTTAATTTATATGAGTATTTATTTGTTTTCATGCGATTCTGCGCATAAAGTACCATGACGTAATATTAAATATGCGCACGTATGAAATTATCGGAACGCTATTTACGCTATTAAAAGTAGCAATCTGATTCGTTTAAAAATAAAACTTTTTTAAAAAGGGTAGTGTCTATACTTTGCAGTTTTAAAGTCAAAGCATAGCCAATAAACTTAATTGAAGATGTTCTAAAAAGATAAAAACCGACGATCTTGTTTGAGGATTTTGTAAATTGATGATCTTGTAAATATGTTTTATGAAACTATTGGATAAATTAATTAATAAAGATAACAAAATGGTTACTAGTTAAGATCTTTTAAGTCGTTTTATCGATGACACAATTAGAAGAAATGTAGAGGACAAGTTTGTATCCTGTCTTACTTAAAAAAAACAATAAAAAAATACAATAGTTTTAAACTCTGAAAATTGAAATAAATTAGGGGAGAGTTGCCTTAATTGGAACACTTTAGGAATAAATATTTATTAACAAAAGATGGCTTAACTATGAAAACATTTATGATTTGATTAATACACTCAGACAACCCTAATATACTTTTAACCAGTATTTTTAAATTGCGCTTGAACTATTTCAACAACACTTTGATTTTATTACTGATGAGGAAAACTTTAAAGTTCTAATCAAGGAAACTTTCGACTATTTTGTTATTTCACTGAAATATCATGCTTGCAGCAACTTATAAATAATATTATATTGTTTTTTTGTATTTTAAATCCTATCGAACTAAACGCAAAAAACCGTATAACTTATTGTAGTATATTGTTTACCCAGCCAAAACTCACCAAAAAAATGACGCAATAAAACTTTAAATCAATGGTACACATGCATTTTTTAAGGGATAACTTTCAAAATGTGTCAAAACGTAGAAAGTAAGGCGTCTTATTAAAAAAAGCATAATTCATTTTTTTTTTTCAAAAATAAATGCAAGTGTTCCAATTTAAGGCGCTGTTCCAATTGAGGCAACTCTCCCCTACTTATACCCATGGAAATAAAACAATGTTTTTGAAAATCTTTGCTAAAGATTTTCAAACAAATTGTTTTGTTACTAAAGATTCCTTGGTATGAATTTGGGTCGCCACATCTGGTCGTTCAAAAGAAGCAAGTTCTACGCAACCGCAAATTCAATTACAAAATTTAGAATTTTAAAGTTGGCTGCGATTTAAAATTTTTACGATAAATTTATTATTATTATTTTAAATTTTAGTTATTTTTATTTATATTATAAAACAAAAACTTATTTATTATTTCTAATCAGTAATTGATATAAATTCAAATGAACTGTTATAACAAGAAAATTGAATTTTTAGTTCAACACTGCATACTTTACTTTTTTTATTAATATTTTTACTTTTTTTATTAATATAGGTTTGACAAAATTTTAATTTATATTATTAAATAATTACAAGACAAAATAATCGAGACAAAAGTCACTAGTATTATCCAAGATGGATAACAAATTTTTAACATATCCTTATTTATATAAATACAGAACATCCATAAAGTGTTTATATAAATAGGGAACATCTATAAAGTGCGTTCTAGATTGTTTAAATGGCATTATCAAGTTTTAATATGTTAAAATTTTAAAGAGCGATATCAGTTTTATTATAAATGATCCGTACGCACATAGTGTGAAGTGGAACCCGACATACTTATTTACAAAACAAGTCTTTTAATATCTAGATATCCAGACCAAAATAAATATCCACAAGTATTAAAATTAAGCATTTTTTAAGTTGAGCTAGTTTAAAGATAAGTTTAAAATTAAGAAAGACTACAAATTAGATATCAAGTATTATAAAAATATCCAAGAACCGAATGAAATTTCTGTACACACACACACACACACACACACACACACACACACACACACACACACACACACACACACACACACACACACGCACACACACAGATATATATATATATATATATATCCAGTGAAGCCAGATTATCATTTCTTCACCCCACCTAACTAAATAAAAGACGCACTCGAGGTGATTTAATCTACAACTATAAATTTAATAATAACTTTGAAAATGTTTATGGGTCTAACCCACAAATTGGCAATCCATCTGTCCAAATAACTCGAAGACATTCTTAACATCTCATCAAAGAAGTCTTTAGTGCTTCAGACCTCAACAACAACATGCGAGCTATCTCTACTAGGCTTAATTTCTTTCCTAACAGAGTAGTCAATCGATGGAATTCACTCCCACTAACTGCAATTGACTCTCATAACCTAAATGAATTTCAAAAATGTATCGACAGACATTCTATCCAGCACTAGTTTTACAATTTATTACCAAAATGCTGCTACAGCTCATCGTCTACCGACAAGGAGCTAAAGGGTTACTACCCCTTTCAAGCAAAATTAAAAAAAAAATAATTTACTTTGTGCTACAAACTTAATTCTTATTTGAATATTTTCTCGCCGCAGCTTATCATTATTATTGTTATTGTTATTATTATTACTATATATATATATACATATACATATATACATATACATATATATATATATATATATATATATATATATATATATATATATATATATATATATATATATATATATCGTAGTATAAAAGATGTCCTTAATGGACAGCACTCTTCTTCTTATTCTGTAACCTCAGGGGTTCATTAAGGTTCAATCCTTGGCCCTATACTCTTTAATTTACATTAACGATCTTCCAGATTTTCTCACATCTAAGGTGGCATTGTTTGCTGATGATACTACCATTTATTCTTGTCACGATAAGAAGCCAACTCCCTCTGATTGCTTGCAGAGGGCATCCGAGCTTGAAAAGCATCTCACTTCTGCTACAGCATGGGGCTCACAGTAGCTGGTGAACTTTAATTCAGATAAAACTCAATTTTTTCCAGCCAATCGTTATCGCAATAATTTAGACCTTCCTATATTTATGAA